TTTAAATGCTTCTGTTGCCTAAATTATTCTCAACCGAAGTTTACAAATTCACTGATGAGTAATTAGTTGGAATGATATCATTATTCTTCGGCAATAAGGGATCGAAATATCTTTACTTTATTACTTTATTTACTGTAAGAGAGTTAATCCAAAGTATGATAATTATCTTCTAGCCAAAAAAAGAAGGCAGTTACTTCACCCGTAAAACCCAATAACAGCACGCCACGTAAAGGCGTTTACTTTCCTCGAATGAGCATAAGCCGTAATCTATGACTTGGTGGGCTCGTATTTATCAAATACTATCTAAAACCGTGTGATGTTGACCTGTACTCGGAATATTCCGTAATCGCCCAGAAAATTTTTATGACGTAATTATTATCGTCCCTACTTAGAGACGGACTTGAAATCTAATTGTATTAAACGATCGATAATTGAATTTTAATGAAACTTGAAATCCGCCAATCCAACGGCCCTATATAAAAACCAGTTTCCGCTAATCGGTTTGTTCGGTTTGTTGTTGGCGTAACCACGAAGCATCCAAACCACTGTAATTTTTTTCCTCTTTTTTGCCTTCTTCAAAGAAAGTAACTTCGAAAACCCTAACCCTAGGCCCAGCTTCACCCAATTCTTGGATTCGTTTCGCTCTCGTCGTAAAAGTTCATCGTTGAATTTCTCCTTTCGAAATCCGTGAGTTTGTTTCTTTAATCCTTTTCTTTTTCTTGATTCTCTCTCGTATTATCTGCAGATCGATATCTGTATTGTTTGTTTGGTGAGTTCTTTTCTTGATTGGTTGAACACTGCGGCAGCCATAGGCGGTTGGCTAGGCTTCTCTTCTCTTCTCTTCTTTTCTTTTCTGAATTTTTGCAGATTTATTTGCTACTACTTTTTAGCTGTTTATTTGGTGATAAAGCGAAGAATTTCTTTTTCTGTTTGACTAATTTTAATGCACTTTTAACATATCAGCGGCTTTTCTTTTTTGTAGTTATTAAAAATTTGAGGGTTTTTTTTTTGTTTTTAATTTTATCACTAAATTTATTTATTATGTAAAGTAATATCATGTTGTATAATTTTGATTTTAGAATTACTTGAGGGCGCTCTTTTTCCTGTTTGTAAGGCATGTGTGTTTTGTCTCTGAAGATTGAGCTGGCCTTTTT